GTATATGTATTACGCATGCTGAGTTTTTTTCCAGATGTGGCTTAAGTGACAGGGTTCGATCAAGAGTGACGCCCAGATATGTTGACGTCGTTTCGTGCTTCATATATTGACCGCAAAACTCAACTGTGAGTTTTTCCTTGACCAGTCGATTGTCCAGATGGAAAGTCGTCGCGCCAGTCTTCATCGGGTTCAGGAGTAGCCTCCACTGGTTAAAATACTGCGTCATAACTGCGAGATCAGATGTGAGTATGCAGCTTAGCATATGCAAGTCGGTATGTTCGGCTGCTAGCGCGATATCATCGCCATAAACGAACTTTTTCGACGCTGTTGGTAGAAGATCGCTGGCAAAGACACTAAACAGCGATGGAGAAAGTACCGCACGTTGTGGGAGTCCGTTGTTAAGGATACTTTCCTTGCTGACAAGGATTCACTTTAGTGATTCTAATCGAATGAATCTTTTACTTTCGATAACTGCCTAATTTGCGAGTGGTTTTCATTTTTCATTTCAAGGCTGCTTTCATCCGTTGAATATAAAGCCATATAACAACAAAAATGCGTAAAAAATTAATTGATATAATTCGTCGACCAATATCTTGTCTAGACGTTTGAGTTGTATGGACGATATGCGCGAAATGGTTAGTTTTTCACTTCCGCAAATCACATTTTTCAGGCACAAGACAAAGAAATGTATTCGGCCAAAATCGACCGTGCAATCGATGCTGACCACCGTGTCATGCCGGGTGCTTATTCGACTTCGACTTCGACTTCTAGTTGTATTGGCGTCATTCGGTTTAACCTCAGCGAAAGGGAGGACAAAGCCGCGTCGCCAAGGCAGACACAGCTACGCGTCGAAGAACGATGCACTGCCGCCGCCGAGTGCTTGGTCCCGGCGATCAGTGTGAGCATGAACAACTTGGACGGTCGAGAAACGTCCTCTCGACCTCCGTTTAGCCTGTACTCAAGCGAGAGCTCTGAAGACCAGGCGGTCGACGAAAGTCTTTGCTTGAAAACAAAGAGTTTGGCTGCGACCGACATTGATTCGATAGGAACTTCTGCAGGCACAGCGGCGAACTTGCGCATTCTACCCTGTGCTCATACGCTGCCGTGTTTCAGGAGTGCTTGTTTCGTCCCCGTGCTGCTCTGTGAGCATGCCTCGGACTCCTTCGTTCGAGAGTCTGTCATCCGCGTCATCTGTTCTGGACCTGAAGACGGCCAACGGCGACTGTGGTCAATTGGAGTTGGCTTTGTCCTACGACAAGTAAATCTATACTTCCCGCGCTATAGACCACCTCATTCACGAGTGAAGTACTTCTTTCAGAACAAAGCAACTACTAACCGTTAATGTTAATCAGCTTTTCGACATTCGCTTCATCTCCCCCACCGCGGAATACTGGCTTCTGGTCTTCCTCCTTCCGCATCAAAAGCCGTTATGGCGTTCGAAGGTAAATTAAGCTGTCATGACAAACTGCATAAATTTTTTTATTTGTCGCAGAAGCCTTCAGAAACCATGACGGCTTTTCTTCTTCAACTAAACGGAAAAGAGTCTATTTAGAATGTGTGCAACAGTAAAGAGCGTATTGAACATTTTAACTACATATATTTTACCATCCAGAGTGGCAATTGGTCCATGTGGAAATGAAGTGAAACTGATTTGAGATTTTATTGCATTACTACGATACTGACCGCTATGCATAAATATCAGTAATGATGTCGGTATGTTTAAGTTTAGGCCGTAATTTCGACAGAGATGGAAGCAAGGAAAATAATGCGGTTAAAATAACGCATCATCAACCGAATTCATAAGCGAATTAATTTCTATACCGGTTTGAACGGATTGTCACTCGTGATGGTAACATATTCACAGATTAAAGGCCGCTGAGAGGATGTCATCGGAAGTGGGATCTACGTTACTACGTTCTGAAGTTTAGCTACTGTATGTTGCATTGCAACGAACTAGGTGAAAGGAAAAGACTAGCATTTCATCGAAAATCTACCGACAGAGTTGGCCATCTCTATGATGATGGACTAACTACCAGTGCGACGAAGTGAGGGTCAATCGGCCCGTTTCAGGAATTCCCGGCCATGGTGGCAGCCTCTTTAATATTCCACCGCGGCCCAGCTCACAGGTACCAAAGTTCAAGGCCGTCGACCTCTCATGATCGTTCCCCAGAGTGAGCTGTGACTGCCAATGCAAAATAGCGGTGACAGTTTCCTGTTCCTTACACATATGAGTGCCAACAAGTTGCTATCTTCAGTCACGCGCAGTCACTGGCGATTCGTTACACCTGGGAATTGCGGACTATAGCGATGACAACAGTAAACTGACATAGGAGAGGACCGGCCTGCCCTGCTTCTTTCAGCATACAACTGCGACCATGTTCCCCCACTTCCTCCCATCCCCCCACGGCGCTTCGTTGCGATTGTTAATAGTCGTGGGTACAGTCCGCAGGAGCCTCTGCTCCTCCTGGCGGCAGCATATGGCGAAACCGGTTACTTTTGTGACGTCGGACTTTGCCAGCGATTTGCTCTGTTAATAGCGGCTGACTCTGTCTGTAGTCGACTATTAAAATTTTTATCTGATCAGAGTAGTCACTGTTGCATACGGAAATTTATTCATACCGGCCACTTTGACAGGAAAGTAGAGAAAATAACTGTAACTCTTGGAAGATCGATCTTCCTTACAGTTTAATTATGAAGTCATTTCTAGAGCTCTTTTTTATGAAAATAATGGGGGGACTCTGTTCTCCATTTCCATGCCCTATTTTAAAGACAAAGTCGACAGCCGCTGTTAAGTAAGCATAGTGCATAGTCTCCTATTTCCTTCCCACAGAGTGGTACTCATTTATCAACCTCATAAGGATGTTAAGCTAGCCACATGACCGGAGCTTGAATCCGAAATCTCTCGGGTTTGAGTCTGACGCTCTAACGACTGAAAAACACCGGTCTGAAGAAACGTTGGGCAAACTCCATACCCAAGGAAACTCACGGTTAAGACTAACGTTGGTTTCCCGCCGGAAATCCAACCACGAACCTCCGGAGTTAGCAGTAGACCTCTTAGGCACTGTACCATCGCCACCCTTTTAAGCGGTGCTCGACCGTGGAATAGACTTCTGCCAAAAGTTGTCTGCTATTCGCGAAGTTGACTCCCGGTATCCTTCCGATCGAATTGTCAATAAGTTATTAGATATTTGCCTGGCAACTCTGCCCTTGCCGGTCTCAACCCCAGATGACAAAGTAGGAGGGTTGGAGACCGTGATGAAGTCTGGGCAAAACTTAGCCATCTGCCCTTCATGACACTGACGGCAACGAATATTCTGCTGGATCGGT